CAATAACACCAACAGCTGGGCGGATACTACCCCCTCTCTCCTCTTCTCCCCTCCTCCTTCCTTCCTCTCCCCCTTCCCCATTCCTCTCATCCCCACCACAAGTTGAAAGTAATTGCTTGTTATATTGGTACTGCGGTGTGGAGGGGGGGGTTGCTGATGATGGGCTGTGGATGTCTTGGATGATGTGGATGGGGTCGTGGAGGTCGTGAATGAGGTCGTTATTCATTCTCCACCAAGAAGATTACGTTAAGCTCCTCACTCTCATTATTGTTAGTGTGTGTGTGTGTGTGTGTGTGTGTGTGTGTGTTATTTAGAGACTGACTATTTCTCCTCCCTACACTATCCCTCACCATACTGTCTCTCACTATCTGTCCCCTCACTGTCAGAACGTAAACCCTCATTTCATCTAGTTAAGTTACCCTTGAGAGAAGTATTCCTTGTCTCTTTGTCTGTATGTGTGTGTGTCCCTCCCACTTCACACACACACACACACACACACACACACACACTCACACACTATAGTCAACAACACTCGAGTCAGCTTCAACCACAACACCCTCACAAAACAAAAGTGTTCCAGTCTCACTCCTCATTAGAAAACCTCCTCCCCATTCTTCACCCACACCTCACCCCTCCCCACCTCCACCTCCATCCCACCCCTCCCTCCTCCACCCTCCACTCCCTCACCCCTCCCCCACCTCCACCTACCCCTCCCCACTCCCCGTCCACTCCTCAACACTCCGCAGACTCCTCCTTTCCACTCCTCTTACTCCAACACACACATTTACTTGAGTTATCCGTGTACATAAGAGTACACTAACACACACTCGTAGGGCCAAACATCAACAACTTTCAATACGTCGTTGATAGAAGTATAGCTTGAGTATAACGACCGAGTATACTAGACTCAACAAAACCTGAATTAAAACAAATATATCAGTTTTTTTTTTTTTTTGGTGGTTTATGATCTTTGTTGATGTTTATTTTGATGTGGGTTAGGTTAGGTAATATATTCAGTTTTAAGGTAAATTCTCAGGATTTGTTATTTATCTCAGGGAAACAATCTTACCTGGGAGTTAATGGTTTACCTGATAATTAATTACGGTACAAGGTAAGAATGGTTTTTTTCCTTGACAGATGAAACTAACCAGGAGGTGTGTGCGTGTGTGTTAGCTTTACTCACACACACACACACACACAGACACACACACACACACACACACACACACAGACACACTCACACACACACAGACACACACACACACACAGTTAATTAAATAATTACTCCTCTAACTATTCGATAAACTTGACATAAATTGTTCTATAAAAGATAAACAACCTTTCAGTAAGTCTTTGGAGTGTAGACAGATAAGATTAAGACCCAATTAAATTCACCTGATGATTAACCTGACCTAACCTGACCTAACCCTGCCAGGTAGAATAAGGGTAAATTAATCTTCAGGTGAACTAAGGTGTAAGTATGGATGGATGGATATTAACCCAGGTGAGGTACCAGGTGAGGTATGTGTACAGGAGACGGACAAAACCTCAACCTAGGAATGACTGCTGGGCTGGGCTGGGCTGGGCTGGCACGCGCTTCACCACAGTCACCAGGAGGAGTAATGGTGAGTTTGGTGACGTCTGGCTTCTCAGGCACCATAAATTATCGCCTTAGTTCTCCTCCGTGACTGAAACAAAAGCCAGATTGTTGTTACGGTGGAGAGTAAAAAAAAAAAAAGTGTTGGCGCGACGTGTCTACCTATGTGTGTGTGTGTGTGTGTGTGTGTACATCATGTTCAATGTATGCTTAAAACACTCAGACACAGGAGACGTTGACAGGGGTAGCGGGTGTCTGAGTGTCTGTACGTGCGTTTATTGTATGATTTATGATCCATGATAATTGTGTTGGTCGGAGTAAAGTGGCGAAGCTTGTTTTATTGTCGTGTATGAGAGGTAATGGTTGTTGTTGTGGGTGTGTTGGTAGTACTGAGTATAGTGACGGTAGTGTTGGTAGAACTGAGTATAGTGTTAGTAGTGAGGGCAACAGTGACCTAATACACATACATCAAAACATCATTACATTAAATTGATCTTCAACAACATCTAATTCAAAACTCCTGTACTTTAACTATCTCAATTAGCTCTTCTTCTTCTTGCGGGGTAATGCAGGTGAGACTATAACTCGGGTTTGTAACGATGGAACAAACTGAATAGTGAACTAGTGCAAGGTCTCGTTTGGGTTGTGTTCGTGTACCAGACTTCATTATAACTCGTTCCTCCGTGTTTGAGTTACCGCTGACGACAGGAGGGGAGGGAGATGGTAATTTCTCAAGTGATCAAATTCTTCTAAAACAGCGGTTCCCAAATACGAGGTCACAAGATGCATCATGCACCTTCCATATCAGGATAGGTTAAAGAAACTAAACTTGCATTCCCTAGAAAGACGAAGAGTGCGGGGAGATATGATAGAAGTATGTAAATGGGTGAAAGGAATCAATAAAGGGGATATAGATAAAGTTCTTATAATATCCGAGCAGGATAGAACTCGGAGCAACGGATTTAAGTTGGATAAGTTTAGGGTTAGGAGGGAGATAGGAAGGAACTGGTTCACAAATAGGGTGGTGGACGAGTGGAACAAGCTTAGCAAACGTTATAGTAAGTGCGGGAACGCTGGAAAGTTTTAAAAGGAGGCTGGATAGATTCATGGATGATAGAGAGTGGTAGTAACTCCTAACAGGAGCTGCTATGTACAGGTCAACCGGCCTATTGCAGACTCTTTATTTTCTTATGTTCTTATAAAGGGTCGCACAGAGGTCATGGGGTCGATAGGTCCCTATGGTGGGGTTGCTGGAGTCACCTGGGTCTTGCAGTGGCCGACAGGTGCCGCCTCGTTAAGTCAGGAGCCTATATTATGGTCATGGGGTTAACGCAGCTACTACTCCCCTTGTGTCAGGTCAGGTCAATCTAGGTCTGGCTTACCCTGATAACAAGAAATTTACGGGATGTTGTGGTTTTGTGTCTTGATATAAAATATCCGGTAGAGGAATGGTAAAGGACGTTGAATCATGGTGGGATGGTGTGCTCTTATCTCTCTCTATCCTGTGTGTGGGTAGAGGGTCGTACTGGATAGGGGACAGCACTCGATGGGTTCGCACTAGAAAATACTTGGGAACCCGTATTCTTAATTATTCCCTCATTAAACAATTAAACATTCGGTAATTTTCCCTGGTTGAACGTTAATAAATCACAAAGTTACTCTCAACAGCCTTATCTCCTTGAGTTACACACGCACAGGCAGCGCCGGTGTGAAAAACCTACAGCAGCAGCAGCCTTCGGTGTCGTCTCCTCTGTTACACTCTGCAGGGACAGTCGTGATAACAATCTGCAGTAATGTTGCCAGAATGTAGCGCCAACATCAATCTCTCCAATAATACACCACTTTTTATCTCCCGACGTGAGGAGTTGTCAGTACGACCACCCTAGCAGCAGTAACACCACCTTAGCAATGCCAGGAAGCACTACCACCACCCCAGCAGCAGTACCCCGACAGACGCCGCTATAAACACAGTGGTACACAGATCCCTCACTGTCAAAACAACCATAAACTAGGTGGACGGACCTGCCTTGTGACAGACCCAGCTCGGTAGACCAACATGCTTGCCACGGTTTATGAGGTGGTAATTCTCTGCACCGGAGCATGAGGACACACACACACACACACACACACACACACACATACATAAGAACATAAGAATGGAGGAAACTGCAGCGGTCCATACTGGTCAGTCCCATTTACACCCAACCCCTATTGCTCACATATCCATCCAACCTATGTTTGAAGCTATCCAGCGTGTTCGAGTTAATGATGATGTTTGGTAACTTGTTCCACTCATCCACTACTCTGTTTCCAAACCAGTGTTTACCTATTTCGCGCCTAAATCTAAATTTGTCTAATTTAAAACCATTGTTACGAGTTCGTTCCTGGTTGGATAATTTAAGTAGTACCTTTGTTATATGACGTTTGTTTAGCCCTGACTTCAATTTATACACCTCTATCATATCGCCCCTCACTCTACGTCTCTCGAGGGATTGCATATTAAGATGCTTTAACCTGTCTCTGTACTCAAGGTTCCTCATGCCCGGGATTAATCTTGTCATTCTCCTCTGAATTCTTTCTAAGGATTCTGTGACCAGAACTGAACCGCATATTCTAAGTGAGGTCTCACAAGCGTAAGATATAGTTTTAGGATAACCTCGCTAGTCTTGTAACTAACACTCCTTTGTATGAACCCAAGTATTTTGTTAGTCTTGTTTCGAGCAAATACTCATTGTTGACTTGGTTTAAGATTCCTACTTATTATTAATCGTAAATCTTTCTCATAGTCGGATTTCTCTATAACAACGTTGTTCATCTGAGATCTGGTTTAGGGAAATCTTTGAGTGTACAACTAGAGACATATGAGGTTAGATTAGATCTGGTTTAGTTCGGAAACATTCAAAACCTAACTTAACCTAAATAAAAAAATTACATTTTCTTAATAAAATTGTGTCTGTTTCTGTGCTTTTACTTGTATTACCATTCAGTCATGGCCAAGAGGAAGAATATTTAAATAATAAACACGAATAAACTAAAGTGTTTTAATATTAACATAAACATAATCATTACTTAACGCTGCCTTCTTAATCCAGCTAAATCACTTGATGATGTTGACCTTAACCTTCCTTGACCTGACATAGAACCCCTCCCGGCCAATCACAGCACGACACTGAGGAGTGCTAACGTTGTTCCTATCCATGACCTGACGTAATTCCTCTCACTGGCCACTCATAGCACGACACTGGGGAGGAGGTGCGCTTAGTAAGGTAACACCTGCGACACAGCGTCACATCACGTAAGGAAATGTCAGGTTTGACCTCACCTAAGTTCTGTCCCTATGGTTATATTAATGGGTGAAGAAGTTACCTGAAGCTCATTCTCAATTGTGTTGTAGACGGATACCATGGCTCTCCGTGTGTTGTCCACTTCCGACGTGGAGGAGCTGGTGTCTCGCCAGACGGTAGTGGGTCAAGGTGTGTTTGGTGTGGTGAGTCTCGTGCCCTGGGAGAACGGCTTTGCCATCTTAAAGGTGATGAAGACCAACTGCCCTGACCAAACCTTCCAGAAAGAAAAACGTTTCTTGGAGATCTTGCAGGGAGCTGGAGGAGCACCTCTACTCCTTGGTGTCTGTTCCTCCCCGAAGGCGATCGTTATCACCTTCAGAGGCCACAACACCCTGCGCTACGTCCTCCAACATCGTCCTCTCCCCGACTGGTATCTGGCGTATATCGCCTTCCTTCTCGGTTTCCGTCTGCAGGAGGTACACGCCGCCGGGGTCATCCACAGGGACATCCATGTATATAACGTGCTGGTGACCGTCCCGCAGGACTTGAGTATGCCCTGGGTCAGTATCATCGACTATGGTCTCGCTACTATGAACTACAGTGTCCTGGACAACATGCCTGACGGAGCCTACCGCTGTGAGCTGACAGACTTGTGTGGTGGTCTTGGCCGCACTAGCAGCCCGTCGCCTGACATCAGTGCTCTGGGTGAACTCCTTAACTACATCTTCCAGAAGATGAGCGTCATGCCGGAGTCAGCCAAGGAGGTGGTGGAGATGGCCCGCACTGACAGAGACACGAAGCAGGCCACCTTGGACGAGATAGTGTCAAAACTCTACTGGATTCTGAGTGAAGATTTTAAAGTGAATATACCATCTTCACTGACGTCTTATGGCCAGGGTACACAACCTTCAGCACCGATGTATAGTGACTTGGTGTGTGAGGCTAGTGCTGGCTCTACCTTGACACACTCATCAGCTGCATCTTACGTGGCCCCTCCACCTGCATATTACCACCTGACCGTTTCATCTTACCACCTGGCTCCTTCCGTACCTGTATCTTACCACCTGGCTCCTTCCGTACCTATATATTACCACCTGGTGCCTCCCTCGCCTACATATTACCCCCCGGTCCCGCCCTCATCTGTGTATTACCTGGCCCCCTCACCTTCATTATACCACCTGGCCCCCTCACCTTCATTATACCACCTGGCTCCTTCCGTACCTATATATTACCACCTGGTTCCTCCCATGCCTGCATCTAACCCGAAATAACATACACACATCATCATGCACAGGTTCGATGTTTTGGCTGTGAACTTTTGGTGTGTATTAGTATGTATACAACCTAATCAATACCTCTATGTATATGAGAATAACTACCAAAATATGTGATAACGTTTATGTATAGAAATGTGATATTTTTGTGACAGTTGATAGTTTTACTCATTGTGCCAGCGTGATATACTACCGAGTCACCAGATGTGCATGAAATTATCCCCAGTGTAGACAGTGAAATACATGTGATATTATGGGCTAATGAATGTATTAAAATATATGAAAACATCTCCTCCAAGTGTATGAAAAGTAGTAGTTTAGAATACAATAATTACTGTATTTTTACCTGACTGGTGTAGAGATATACACAATCCTGTACTGATACATAGTTAAAAATTATACATATGTCTGTAAGTATATGTATAAATCATTACGTCACGATATCACCTGTATAATTATGATGCTAAATTATTGTTGACATTGTACTGATAAATGTTTCTCTTACCTGCTTCCTAATTAAGGAACTGTTCTGCCAAATGAAAAATAAACAGACATTTTTATTTGGTATTTTATGAACCCTTTTATCAATACCTCTATTATGAAGGTGAATTAAAGAACTTTGGAATTAACTAACAGGTAAATAATATATGGGATGTTAATGAGTTGTTACCTGTTGAGTCTCAGGTGTTACCACGACTTACCTGTAGAATCTCCAGGTCTCAGAATGGAGATCCCGATGATTCTTCAGGTCTTAATGAGATACAAAAATACCTGGTAAGTACTTGTGGGAGTGTCTGTGTGTATGTATGTGCATCTGAGTGTGTGTGCGTGTACCTGTTGGGATGTCTCACCTGTCTTCATTAACACCTCGCTTGACGTACACCTTCTGCAAGTCATTCCTCACCTATCCCTCCACCAAGTCTCCTCTCTCCCTTCTCATCTTGTTCCTTACGTTACTTCCTCGTGTGGGTACATTGTGGGTGACGTATGGTAGTGTGGGTACAGTGTGTGTGTGGGTGACGTATGGTAGTGTGGGTAACGTATGATAGTGTGGGTACAGTGTGTGTGTGGGTGACGTATGATAGTGTGGGTACAGTTTGTTGTTGATAGCCCAGGCCGTGATAACTGTTGACTCCTCCCACTACCCGTTTAACTCCGCCCACCACCGCCTTGGCTCAGACAGTCTGTGGAAGGACACGACTGAGGGAGCATTATCTCCTCCTCAAACTACACCAAGTTGTGATTAATTTCTCTCTCTACAGACTGTATAGTGAAGAATATTAACCACTAAGCTCAAGTTCTTAATGTGAAGAAAAAAAAATTCTTAAATCAGTCAAAAATACTGAACAAATTATAAACGTTGTGAATCATAATGAGAGAAAATAACAAGTGTTGTGAGTTATTAAGTTGTGAAGTGGAGGTGGAAGAGTTATAACCATGGAGGTGTTGGTGGTGGTGTGTGTGGTGGTGGTAGTGGTGGTAGCCGGACATCAAGGTGAGACATACTTGTATCTCACCTGAAGATTAACCCACCCCCTTAACGCTAGCTGTTGAGGGGGGGGAGGGGATTAGTTAGGTCAGGTCAGGTTAGTATTAAAGTGGTTAATCACCAGGTAAAATAACCTTGAGTTCCTAAATATCTTCAATATCCTAACCTAACCCTTCCCCACAGGTAACGTTAAGGTGTTTAATTATCAGGTGAAATACACTGGTGGTAAGGGGGGGGGGGTATCTTCAGGTGATCCAACGCGAGATTACTGGCTTGAATATAATGGTTTAAACCTTTTGGGAATAATCTTTTACACCTTTTGGGAATATATTGTTTACTATGCGGCGTAATGGCGGCGATCCTCAAGCACCACACGGCCACTGGATCAATCTTACCTGACTAATTTACGAGTTAATGAAAGAGAAACACGAAGGAAATACCTCTTTAGTACACAAGTGTCTGGCCAGGTGACAGCAGACAATGGCTCTGCTGAACTGTGTCGCGGGGAATTAAAATGTAAATTCTCATTATTTTCTGCATTAAAAGGTTAAAAAAGGGGAAATTGGTTATAGTATTTTTAGATCACCTGAAAATTAGCCCCCCGCCCCCCAGCTCATTTCACCTGATGGGGAAGTGGTCTACAGTTACCTGGTGAGTTAGGTTAGGTTCAGTACGCGTTAGGTTAAGTTAATTTAAGTTTGATTAGTGTTAGGTTAGATTAGTTTAAGTTAGATTAGTGTTAGGTTAAGTTAGATTAGCGTTAGGTAAAGTTAGTTACGGTTAGTTTAGCCTTAGGTTAAGTTAGGTTAGATTATGTTAGCATTAGGTTGGTTAATCTTCAGGTTGAAATAATCTAGGGGGATTAATCTTCATGTGATCCTTTTAACAATTTATTCACACATTTCGTCCATTAAAATAAAAACAAATAAAAGTAAGGAATAAATAATCGAATAAATAATAAATAATTTATCCTCTATTTAATTCCCAACATCAGACATTTTATTTAATTCACCTGGAGACACAACCTTCATTATACATACACAGGTACAGGTAACAGCATAGTTAGGTTACCTGCAGTTCATTAGCATTGATTAAGAGCGGTTGTGTATAAGTATTACCTGTTCTTCCCCTGTAGTAGGTTCGGTTGCCAGGTGATGAATTTTATTTCTCATTTTATTACATTATTTTGGGTATATTTAGTATAATTTATATAAGTACAGTGACACCTCTATTTACCGTACTATCTGGATTTACAAAGTGTCCGTTATATCGAGGGTCCGTTAGATATGAAACCTCCATCTAATGAACTAAGTAGTGGGGGATTCTGAGTGCCACGATAACGGGGGGAGGTGCCAATTTGGGGGGATGAAGGTGCCACCGTGGACTGTCCTGGGTGCCATAGTGGTGGGTCCTGGGTAGTGGTGGGTCCAGGGTGCCATAGTGGTGGGTCCAGTGCCATAGTGGTGGTCCTAGGGTGCCATAGTGGTGGGTCCTGGGTGCCATAGTGGTGGGTCCTGGGTGCCATAGTGGTGGGTCCTGGGTGCCATAGTGGTGGGTCCAGGGTGCCATAGTGGTGGGTCCTGGGTGCCATAGTGGGGTGCTTCTGGGTGCCACGGGCTGTTAACCTCAGAGATGCATTATTCAACTCTGTCGTTCGATCATTTAAACTTCGAGTGACTCACAAATCTGACAAAAATGTCTTCCTAATCTGACACTTTAGGCAAATATGGGATCACGTGAAGATTAACCACCCTAACGGTAACCTAACCCAACACTAACCAAACATAACATAAATTAACGCTAACCTAACCAACCTAATACGAACCTTATCTAACACTCCAGGTAAACAAACTATACACATAAACAACACAGTTATACAAACAATAGTAAACAAGAACTCAATTTAACCATTTTACCTAACCTAATCCATCATATACTCATTAACATTAAATAACCACCAAAGTTTACCTAACGACCAACTCTCTGACACCTTGACTTCCTTCCCTCATAATTAACACATCATTATTCAGATAAAAGTACATACACCTTGACAGATCAATTTCGCGAGGGCCAATAAGAAAATATACAAGCCTTCTGATTACCTACGTCTCTCAGTAACTTTTTCCACAGCGCGTGACGGATCAAGAAGCTGCCGTGGGGTGTGAGTCATGCTGTGTGGGAGGCTGTGGTGGAGGGGAGAGAAGGGGGGATGGGGAGGAGAGGGCGCTGTGGTGGTAGGACGGAAGGAAGGAGGTGGGGAGAGAAGGGTGGGGAGAAGAGGGGACGTTGGGGGAGGTTAATTGCTCATCCGGTACAGTGATTATTTCATTGAACGATTAATTATATTCTGTTTTCTCACAACGGAGATAATTTACGGGGATTATTTTATCAGGAGAGAGAGAGAGAGATAGGGGGGGAGAGAGACAATAATTCGCTTTAATTAGAAAGTTATTGTTGCTTTTTCATCTCTACATTAATGTTGTGTTTTGTCGAGTCCTGTGATAATTTACACCTTAATTATGGCTGCAGGTAAAGGTAAACATTTAATTAATATATTCAATAGGTGATTTTCATCTCAGTCGTGGTGTGGTGATCTGCCCGGAACGACCATGGTATGTAGGGTGTGTTGTGAGGGATGGAGGGTTAGCATACAGGGTGGTAGAGGAAGGGAGTGGGGGGTAGGGAGGGAGGAGTGTTTTGTGAGAGGTTCCTCCGTCACCACCCACGGCTCGTAAAACTGCTGACGATAATGTTAGTGAAACTCGACCCTACTTCCTGGTCTGTCATACTGAGGCAATATTTCCCCCTTTTTCCATCTTCATTACAACCAGTGAACGTGTGTGTGTGTGTGTTGAACTCAAAATGTTATGACGAGCAACATCTTGTTCCTACAGAACTAACACCACCAGTAACACGTCACCATCTTGTTCCTACAGAAGTAACACCACCAGTAACATGTGAACATCTTGTTCCTACAGAAGGGCCGCCAGTCATCAAGGAACACCCCAGTAACATGGTGGCTCGCCGTAACGACCCCGCCACCCTCAACTGTGCCGCCTCAGGGGCCGCCCGCGTCAGGTGGTTCCGTGACGGCCAGGAGGTGGTCACGTCGACACAAGATCCTCGCTCCCACCGTGTTCTCCTGCCCTCTGGTTCCCTCTTCTTCCTCCGTGTCACCTCCTCCAGGAGGGACAGTGACACGGGCACGTACTGGTGCGTGGCCTCCAACAGCTACGGTGCTACACGCTCCAACAACGCCACACTGACCGTGGCCACGCTGGCCTACGACTTCCAGAGCCAGGCGGAGTCGACGATGAGGGCCCGCGTCGGTGACTCCCTCACCCTGCCTTGCCGGCCACCCAAGGCCACCCCGGCCCCGGAGCTGAGCTGGCTGAGGGACGGCCGCCAGGTGACCAACTCCTCCCGTGTCAGCGTCACTGAGGAGGGAGACCTGGTCATCAGTCAGGCCGTCCAGGAAGACTCTGCCACCTACGTGTGTCGCGCCCGCAACGCCGCCGGCACCAGGGAGTCCCAGCCCACCCAACTCACCGTCATGAGTAAGTTCTCAAGATCTCGCCAACTTTTTCTCCCCTACAAACACACACATTACTGTCCTCCTGCTGCTGTGAACATAACAGCTTCACTGAGCACAGCACAACAGCTGTTAAATGATTAGGGCAATAACAATTATTTATCATGTCTATTTTCAGCTCCGCCGTGGTTTG